TCCTATGTCTCAAGGCAAAAATTTATGCTCACAACCACAAACGAAGTGACAGACGACTAACTGGCGAAGAAATCCATTAAAATAATGTGGTTAACTGTAATAGAATTTTCTTGGAAGCTTGTGCCATCATCCACCAGATGGGTTAGTTTTTTTGTTTTGATTTGAACAAAGTTGATTTTGTGTACAATGATTCTTTGACAGTGTGCAAAGAGTGTATCGTTTTGTCATTTTTTTATGCATTTCAGTTTTGAGTAGAGTGAAAGAGATAGAACCAAAACATTCTAATACATTTGGTGATATTGCTAGTACAATCCAGTGTAGCCATGTGGTACAATCCAGTAGTAGTGGTTTTTTTTTTAAATGCTTTATTTAAGAGATTTTTAGCCTTAGGCTAGTTCATCTCTAAGCTAGTAGTAGTGGTGTTGTCATGTGGTACACTGAAAAATTGAAATAGCAGGTTAGTCACCAAAGTTTTCGAGCCGCTCCGTCTGTCACTTCGTTTGTGCTCACAACACTCTTTTTGACGTTCTCCTATTCACCACCAGAGGTTGAATCGATTGTTTAGTTTCTATTAAAAAGGTCTATTCCAGAAGGCGACACGGAGGTCTACATCGGGATTTTAAGTATGTATGTTCTTTCGTGGATCAAAGAACAGTACGGTCCGAAGCCAAATGTTGTATTTCTACAAGATGGGGCTCCGTGCCACACCTCGAACCACACTCAGAAGTGATCGCAGGAACATCTTCCGTTCTGGACGAAGGATATGTGACCGTCATCCAGCCCCGATCTTAATCCGCTGGATTACTCAATATGGCGCGTCATGAAGGCCTAGGCCTGTTCTAAACGCCACCCGAGTACAGCAAGCCTCAGACAAACATTAACCCGTACCTGGAGAGAAATGGAATTATGTGCTGAAAAAAGCTCATTGAGATCGATAAATGCACCTTTATTCCGATGTTTGCTCTGATATGATTAATTTACTTATTAAATGTTTTATAAACGTTGACTGTCTTCCTGATTCAGAACCAGAAGTTTGATCTAATAACAAACTGAATAAGTGTAATTTGCACATACATTGACGCTTTAATTCGACTGTTTTCAATTGATTCTGCTTTCTAGCTCCATCAAGGAGTAACTCACTCTGCCACCTTGTGACTGTGCTGATTGTGTTTCTTGTGTGTTTTTGGATGTCGGACGGTGTTTCTGACACGAACGAGCTGTCAGAACTTCAAGCGGTAACCATACAATGTTTACTGGCAACCATGACCTCCACAACGCTGAAAAGAACCCTCTCTGATAGTTTATTGGCCTTGACGGTGTCTCTGTAGCTCTTTACTCCTATTTGACTCCTATTGTAAAATCTAATAGCAAACGTCAGACTGTGCGTGATGCCGGACTTACTATCCTTTCAATGCACCGAAAAGTTCCATAAGATGCTGGCTGTAGCCGATCACTACTCAAGCAACCAAAAGTAATTAATCGAATTTCCAAATTCACATTCGATGTTTAAGCTTCTAACAGAATGCTGTTTAACTTTTAAAAAGAACTCGAAAGTTCATAAAAGTTTAGTTGGAAGGAATGCTAGTCAGCCCAAAAAGAAAACTTGAATGTAATCAACAATCCAAAATAGAAAACAAATATATCTATTATTTTGCTGCTTACCACGTTCTCTTCTAATTTATTATGAGCTACTGCGTCGTTGGAAGATAAATGTTTGAAATATGGTCAAATATTTAATTTAAATTACATGTTTTTAAATTACTTACCGCAAGTCTCGAACTCGAGTCCTCCTCTTTGAAACCGAGATACATACCACTGCTCTACGTGAACTAAGTAGAATATCATATGAATTTACTCGATATATTGATTTCCTTCATAAAAATGGTTTTCAGATTAGCCAAATCTACTTTCAAGTGCCGAAAGAACTATTTTTGAACTTCAAAGTCTCTGATTAGTTCATGTAGAACTTATTGTGAACTTGCACCGTTTGACATTTGACAGCTTGTTTTGTTTTCCGCAGAAGTTTGCAGTAACCTTGAAAAGTAAGAAACAATTTGTCTTAATTTTAGTCAATTTACCTATTTTGAGACTTGTTTTATTCAGAAAATCATCAAGGTATGGTCGTGGAACGCAAACCTCAATGAAATTTATTAAAATAAAATATATTTTTACTTACAGAAATGCCATTCGCCGTAGTAGAAACATTGAACGCTCGAGGCTGTAAGGAGCTTTCGGTCGTTCCAAATCAATGGCTGCAGAAATCAAAAAGTGGACACATGTTGTTCTGGCCAAACGCAAACAGCAACAATCAATACGAAACTAACGATTTTAAATTGGCTCACTACTTGACTAGCCTGTTGGTCCCAAGCAAACGATTAACGTACCCCATTCTAGTCGAAATTCTAGTACAACGCAATGTTTGTTTTGATTCGCTATGAAACTTTGACAGTTAAAATGAGGGGTTAGTGGTTTTTCCTTTGTTTCGAGGGGTGAATCGATTAGCTTGGGACCGAAGAGAGTACCAGAGCTGAGCCAAAAAGTTGAGCACGTTATTTCGGTACTTTCTAGTCTTAGAGTTACCTCTATGCAAACAGTGTCGCAGAACAATATAAATTGATCCGTGACGAAAAAAGCTGCTAGAAATTAACATTTCTAAAGTTGCTTACAAGTTCAAGTCGAACTTCCTTCGAACTTATCTGGAACTTAACGTATACTTTAAAGTCTGAAATAAGTTCAACATAGATTAATTGTGAACTTTCGCGCTGCTTAAAAGTACGGTTAGTACTAAAATTGAACTTTGTGTTAGAGGTTCGAAAAAAGTTCTTTAATTCACTTTTTGTGAACATTACAGTTCTAATGAACGGGAACAAGAAACTTCTGTTGAACTTTCGAGGTTCCAATAAATATTGGCGGTACTTTAAAGAGCATTAAGCCGAGCATTAAGCACATGTTTGTACATGTAGTGCCTTGTTAATCAGCAAGAATGTTCCACGGAACTAAATTTGAACCAGATGTGAACTTTTGAGGTAGTTTCTCATGTGAAATCCGAACTTTAGGTTGCTTGGGTAGAATACTAGATCGTTTGAGTCGAACCGATGACAGCAACCAGAGGATGTATGATTTTCTGATATTAAGCAATGTTTCATTTAATTATACGCAAAAGGTGCACATCAGCTCCGTGGTTTCTTCTCTGCTAAATGCACAATCCACATTATCGACCGTAGTATACTCCGTGTTCTTTTCCACAGGTCTTCACATATGTATAGAATAGACCTGAATCGAAGCTTACCTCATCCATTTCGAGCAAACAAAATCAAGGCGGATGGACGGACGCAGACGGACGGGTTTTATTCTATTCAAGGTTCCGCTGATGTAAAATAATTCAGTCCGCTGGTTTTATAATTATATTGTAAATTATGACAAACAAAATTTTCATGCACAGAGCCTGGCCCCGGGGCAGAAAATAAAATAGCTTTCTAGGCTTTTTCACTGGAGTGAAAAGGTAAGGAACAAACCACTATGATTTACGCATATCAGTTGCTTATATGATTTGCCAATAAGAGTAAAGAGTAACACATTCGTCGTAGACGCTAAACTACTGTTTATAAATATAAAAATCGAATGTAAACAGTCATGGAAGTGGTGCCAGAATTAATAGAAAATTTTGGTGGAAGTGTGTTTGGAGTGTGTCGAACTGTGTTTTTGGAGTGTTAAACACAAGGTATAGCAGAGTGAGTTACCCCATGAAATCAAGGCAAGGCATTTTTGACCAGCATACACCTTCTGGTTGTATGAAACAGGTCCAAATCTGTCCAAATACGTCTGTAAACTTTTCGATTTCTCTTGTCAGATCAAAATAACAATACACGGTACTGATATTTTTGGGATTTTTTTTATCTGCATAATTGCTAGGTTTCGATACCGTGCCATCTAGGGTATACTGATTTCTTTGTTGGTAGCTAATCCTCGGGTCTATAGCTGCTGATGATGAGCTTCTTAACGACTGGCAATCACACTCTAGTATATGAGGTGTTTTGAAATAGATGTACATTTTTTCAAGCAGAAATTCAAAATTTATTTGTCATATCCATAACCAAAGTATCAAGTTCCCTCATTCGGTTCAAAATGCCGAGAATTCTACCACGCTTGCTATCGCTGATTCTTAAGAAATGGCCGAGAGCGTATCGACGTAAACTTAAAGAACTATAATGGCAAACATTTGTATCATCGTGGCCATCGATCAATCTTCCCATTAATTTTCCGACAGATCATGCTTCGCCCGATGAAGAACCAAATTTGTCGATAACTAATATAAACATTGCCATCTGTCATCTAGTGTGTATCAAAATCTCTTTAACCAGCGATGCAAATCGATAACAAGGAGATTTTAAATGTACATCGATGGCAATTAGTTCTTTGCCAAAGTTCAACGTTACGATGATATCAGTATTCAAATATTTTTAGATGAATATTTATAAAGAAAACTATAGTCCTTGTGACACATCGAAATTAGAAGAAGTTTAGTATGGCATAGATTACTATCATGCGACCGATAAAGAAATTATCTTAAATGTAAGTATCGATCAATAAAGGTTTTTAAATATATTCTTCGAAATCAAAGAAACTTGAAAGTAAAGATTTACCGACATTAATCTTTATTTTTGTATAAAAAACTTTGAAGAAGTTTCACGAATGGTTGGTCGGAGCCCGTCATGCCCGTCGGAGCCTATCATGTTTCACGCCAACTATATTTTACTAAAATTTAGTTTTTCGTTACTCGATTTAACTCTCAATTTTGTTTTCCAGCAAGAAAAAACACAACTTTTTAAGCTTTTTTGAATATTTTATTTTTGAGTGTGCTATAATAGTGCATTATCACCCCTCGGTTCTCATGATCGCAAAATGTGCTATTTTATTTTCATTGGGGCTCCTCCGAAGTTTCATTTTCTGTTTACATTTTATGCGAATCTGTCAACAAGAGGAAAAGAGATTGTTAGCAAAATATGAAAATTTAGCCGTAAGAATAAAGAAATTGTGAATAATATTATCTGCAATACAACAGTAATGGAATCTAAGACACATGCTAGCATAAATTAAAGTTCGTCATTCCGGTTAAAAGTGAAGTTAAGTGCATCCAAAGCGTGTGACAAATATCAAATAGTTCTGTCGTATTTGTGTCTCGGTCGAACTTTTCGATGGAAGCAACTTTCGTGCATCAGCAGCAAACCCTTCACCATGAAGAAGATCCGGACGTTTTGGCCGAGGACAACACCAGACCTTCGCTACCGGAGGATTTTCCAAACTTTCGTGATTTTCAGATCGAGAAAATGGTTCTGTACTTTCGAGTGGTAACTGATGGTTCCGAGCAGCGACTTCGGTTGGGTTTCAAGTGTAAACTCTGCGGGGAAGTGTTCAACAAGACGATGCAACTGTTGGGTCACATTCGGAACCATTTCGAGGAGAACCACAGCTGTAAGGACTGTGGAAAATACTTTTTCGACACGAATAAACTGAACATTCACAAAAGGTAAGTCGGTTTTGGATGGTGGTGTGGATGGTCACAGGATAATTAATTATTGATCATCTATTTCAGGGCAAAACATACCCAAGCACTGAAGTGTCAGCTGGGATGTCCAAGCTATACCACTTCAAACATCAAATGCCTGCAAACGCATTATTTGCGCTATCACTGTTTAAAGATAAGGCCTAAGGATATGAAAAAGATGGAAGAAACCCTTGGGACGCTCTACCGACAGAGTGGCAACGAAAGTAAAGTGAAAATGCAGCGTGAGATCATTGCAGATCAGCAACGGTCACTTCCCGTAACGCAGCAGATTCAGCCAGTAGAACCCGAGGAGGATGAAGAAGATGAAACGGAAGAACAGGAACCAGAGCAGGATGATGACGAATTTGATGAACCAGAAGACTATGGCCAAACGGTGGAGTGCTGTGTCTGTGATGTATACATCCCAAGTGAAGATGACCTGCGAGTTCACGAAGAAACTCACTGTAGTCCCTACACGTGTAAGATCTGCTTCAGTGCATACGAGCAGCTGGACGATGCTCGAAATCATTACGAATCACATGAGAAAACTCAAGTCATGCAAAATCCTGTTCAACTACAAACAGTAACACTAACGCCGGCAGTTAGCATCCACCATCAGCATCAGCCAACTTCCATTCCAATAGCGACTTCTTCCGGTCAACCGCAACAAGCTCCCACCATGACAACCATGTTGATCATGCACAACGGAACTCCCATTCTGATACCTGTGCAAACATTCGACAGCAGTCAGTTAGTTCCAGCCTTCCCTTCCCACACTGTACCAGCGCAAATCAACGCCCAACCAACGGCAGGCACGACTACGATCACTCCGATCACAACAGCCTGGCCCATCAATCACCTACTACCGGTGAATAATCAAATCGAAATCATTCCAATTCATCCCGCGCAAAATGCTGCCGCAGCTGGTGGATCCCACCAAACGGCCACTCTCAATCAAATCGGAACCGGTCAAGCGATTTCCCTTCAGAACATTATCAACTTAAAACAAGACCATCACCAGTCGGCGAATAACGGAGGAATCGTTATCACTCCCGTGACAACGATCGATCAACATCACTATCTGAGGCAGCAGCAAGCGTTACAAGCGCAACTACAGCTGCAACAGCAACAACAGTTACAATTACGGCAACAACAGCAACAGCAACAGCAGCAGCACCAACTTCTACAACAGCAACAATATCAACCACAATCGTAGGCTTGCTTGCGTATGACCGCGTGGATTAATGAAAAGTATTTAATGAACCTATTTATGTAAACGAGAACTGCTGATCCACTTTCGAATACGGCATCAGGTTCAAGTTTGGTTGTAGGAAGAGAAAAGTATCAAACTGTCGTAGTATTAGTATGCTTTTCGATACTAAGTTATTTTTATTTGTTTTATAGTTTATTGTAAAATCAAACATATTTAACTATTTTATTTAACAAACACGAACGCATATCGTGGAATGTGTAGTAAAGTCTGTTTTTTTTTGTGAACATCGGAGCCAATTCTGTCTGAATTGAGATCGAAAAAAGAACGGTCCTTGTCTCTTTAAAGCCTTTAAATTTTAGTCTTCACGAATCCGTGATATATTTTTTCCAACTCACACCATTGATTTGAAGTTTTAAGTATTCTGAGCTATAAACCGATGAGAAATATGATACATTTGCACCACAAATATTGATTTTAAACTTCTAGTTCTAGCTCCAGGTGTGCTCCAGGCTTTAGTATTAGTGATTTTTTCAACGGAGCATTATTCCAATGCTGGTACAATGAAATCACGCTGATTTGGAAACAAACTCCCTAAACTAAAATGAGTTTCACTTAAGATCATTTCACTAAGGTGGATCACTCAAACCCCATATGGAAGGCACAGTATTCATATTCTCGGAGGTTGGGAAGTAAATGAAATATAAAGGCGCATCCATGTCACGCGACAATGATGAAAAATCACCCCTCCCTTATTCGACATGCTTCATCCTATACCTATCTTATGCATTTGCTTGTTACTGATTTCTAATCTACCTCTCTCCCCTTAGAGCAACCGTAACGGTCGTTGTCATTTGCGCGACTATTTTAACAGCGCACAGCGCTCTCATTTTAGTTTAGTCACTCTTCTCCACACCGGTCGCTGCTATCGCGGTTATCAATTTACTCGCCGTAGTCCGTACCGGTAGTGAGCATTTTGACAATTCTACGAATAGCAACCTTTCTCTCGCGCTGCTAAATTTGGTAACGCGCTTCTCACCGAGAAGCCGACTGCTATTTTAGTTACTCGTATGGCAACCCCCGATACGGTAGCTGCGCTATGATGAGGGCTGCTAAAATGAGTTTAGCAGCCCTCATCATAGCGCAGCTACCGTATCGGGGGTTGCCATACGAGTAACTAAAATAGCAGTCTGCTTCTCGATGAGAAGTGCGCTACCAAATTTAGCAGCGCAATAGCAGCGCGGAAGAAAGGTTGCTATTCGTAGAAATGTCAAAATGCTCACTACCGGTACGGACAAAGGTGAGTAAATTGATAACCACGATAGCAGCGACCGGTGTGGAGTAAAGCCCTACAGTAAAAGTATGGACGACTGTCACCACAAAACTGAAAAAAGCTGTTCCAATCGAGCAAAGCGGTGCATTTTGACGGTTCGATTGGAACAACTTTTGACAGGCGTCCATACTTTTACTGTAGGGCTTTAGTGTGGAGAAGAGTGACTAAACTAAAATGAGAGCGCTGTGCGCTGTTAAAATAGTCGCGCAAATGACAACGACCGTTACGGTTGCTCTTAGAGTGGTACATATCAAATTTTTAAAATATTGGCGTTGACGGCACCGTCGAAATATTTGCTCTTCCAGTAAATATAGACAGTTTCTTATGAGAATTTTCGGTGGAGTGAAAGGATAGTACAAAGTCCGCCATGTTTCACGCACAGGCTGACGTTTGCTTATGGATTTTCTCATAGGAGTAAAGAGCTACAGAGTCGCCGTCAACGCCAATTGTTTGGTACTTTTTTTTTGCTGGATTCGTTCTGTAAAATATAATTTTTACCGTGCGGGACCGAAATCCATACACCTAAGCACGAGAGAATCATTAACGGTCAATACTAAATAATGCTATCACATTATGCTCTGTATCACATCTTTTTCCTTTACATTTATCTTTATTTTTCCAATATTTGCAAACACCAGGTCTTAAAATTACCTTTAATTATTAGAAAAAAGGATTTAAATTGCACATATCTTGAATCAAAATCCGTACAGCGTTTTACGATTGAATCAAAATCCGTACAGTTTTGAATCGAAATCCGTACACTGTGTTGAGGATGAATCAAAATCCGTACAGTCATGAATCAAAATCCGTACATGAATGTAAATCGATCCAAATCAATGAAAAAAAAAAACGTGTTGCTATTTTGAATAAAGTATTTTTTTGTAGTTGCTTGGCTAAGAGTCCAAAACAGCTATATTCGTTTAAATACACTAGTTTACAGCATATTTGAACTTTGTACGCTGATTGTCATTTCCCATGTAAAATCGTGCGCTGAATCCAAAAATGTAGTCCAAAAAAATCTCGGTAGGATAGTTTTGGAGATATAGGGGTAAGAGAGGCATAGTGAACAGGTGGGGCATAGTGAGCATCGCGCGTGCTCCAGCTTGGACTTCCGGCCGTTCAGAACAAATTTGTTGGCTGTAGGATCAATATCTTAATGATATTGATCCTACTACCAGTTGATTTGTTTCATGCAGTTGGAGATCCAGAGCCAAAGTACGGGATGCTCACTATACCCCGCCTGTTCACTATGCCCCTCCTTCACCTAGCTAAAAAATTAAATCTCAAGTTAAAAAAACTAAAACACAAATATCTCTGGCTGCAATGAAGTGATATTAATTATTTTAACGCCAAATTAAACGTGATAAAATTTTATTTCGATCGTTCTAACACTATTTTTCCGTGAGAGTAATGGTAGAACCACCATAAACATTTTAATTTACAATGCTTAAAACTTAGCAGAAATTCAATTTTTCTTAGGAAAACTTAAAAAACAAACTATTAACTAACAACAATACCATCAATTTCACTGACAATTGATGTTCAATTGATCGAACGAAAAAATTTCTTACCTCTAATTTAGCGTTAAAATAATTGATATAATCTCATTACAACCCGAGATATTTGTATTATAGTAATCAAACTTGTTTAAAGTGAATTTTCATTTTTAGCTGTATCTCAAAAACTATCCTACTGACATTTTTTTCGACTACATTATTGAATTTAGTGTACGATTTTACATAAGAAGGTTCAAGTTCATTTTTTTTACTTTTACTTTTTTAACTAATGATATCAGCGTTAGATTAATTGATGCTCCAATCGATTCAAAGGAGCGGTAACTGATTTCTTTTTATTTAAGAAGGTAACTGTTCTGGATTTTCATGCTAACTAATATCATGTTTAAGGATTAATTTCTTCCAAATTTTATTCTATATCAGTGCCTTGGGTTAAATATTCTTACTGGAGTTTTCCTCCGATCACAACTTCGAGGTTTTTGAAATTTGACATGTGATAACGTGCAAGATGCGCCATACTTTGGAACTTGGGGGTGCTCCAGATCAACGCTATAAAACATTATTAACCGGGACTAAACTGGGCGGTGTAGCCTGGACAATGTTGTCGAATCAATAATAGCAAACTGAAGAGAAGACTGTCGAAACATCTTTAATACAACGATAATGGAAACGCTCCACCAACCCACTGGCATCAAGCGATAAATTAACCGGTTCCTAAGATGGTAGCCCTATAATGGCGGATAAGGAAAAGAAAAATACAACCATCTTAGAAACCAACAAAAAAGACAATGAACTGACATCAAGGATTAGTTTTTCGTTTTGTGCATGAAAATTAAAATTGGTAAAATAACGACTATAACTTAATTTAATTTAATACGTCAAGAGAGTAATAATCATAAAAATACAGATCTGTCATTGCTTCTTTTCCACAGCTTTCTTCTGCTTCTTCTCCATTGTTACCATTGCCTTTGCAAGTTATAATGCTTTCTTGCTTCCAACCCTAATCAAAATAACCATAATAGAAAGCTTAACCCATCCGGGATAAAGTTCGTTCATGGTATTTGTTTATTAGGGAACTTTCTTTGCTCTTCTTCCTTTTCTTCCTCCTCTTCCTCTTTCGCTCAACCTTTTTCTTTTGTCGTTCCTCAATCCTTTGTTTCTTTGCGTTCTCTTTATCAATTTTCGCCCGCACTACTTTCATGTGTATTTCCGGTCATTCCTCGCTGGTAGCTACTGCTGGGAATGCTCTCTGGCCCATTTCTGTCTGCTCTCTGTAAGGGAGCATCCAAAAATGACGTAGCATATTTTTGATCAATTTTATACTCCCCCCCCCCCCCATCGTAGCGTATTTGGCTATATCCAATACATGACCGGTCACAAATTCTGAAACCCTCACCTCCCCCCTCAAATGCTACGTCATTTATGCATGGTCCCTAATTTGTATATGCGTGTTGGTGATATCCTGTAGGGGAGCTGCGTTGTTTTACTTTTCGGCCGGTTCTTGACGCTCTTCATTAAAAGATATTAATAATATAACGTTTACAATACGAATAAAATAAGAGAGTAGCGATTCAATACGGCATCTCTTATGGTGGTGAATTGAACGGCAAAATCCCTGGATGCTTCTCGGTAAGATTTCTCTGCACGCATCATTGCCACAGTCTTCTCCAAATCCTCCGACGTGTATTAAGTTTCCATGATCTGCTGAAAAACATTGGATAAAGTAGAATCGTCATTAGTGATGCACAAGTGTACGGATTTAGAATCAGCTGTTATATATGGATCGAAATCCGTACAGTACTAATTTTGATAAATAAATACTATATGAACGATCCATTGCTAAGAATTGAGATATAAAACGATAAACACTAACCTTTTCGATCGACCTTCAGGAAACTACTTGCAAACATCACTGAAATACGCTTAACGAACTGAAGTAAATCCGAGAAATTTTCTTAGAAAATCGTTAAGAACACAACCGATTGACAGAAATGCCCGACACGTGTTGAGGTTTTTATTTTTCTTATTTTAATTGCATGACATTCTGCTTAATTGTTGACGTAAACATTAAGCTAATGCATGAATGAACATGAATATGTATTCATGTATAATATGTACATTGTTATGATGCATATAAATAAACAAATTCAACAGGGTGTACGGATTTCGGTGCTGTACGGACTTCGGTCCCGCACGGTACCGAAAGTTTTGTAAAAAATATAATTTTACCAATTTTGTGCAATCATAACTGCTGAATATCTGTAATTTAAAGAAATTTACCGAAAACTATAAACAAATTTTACTGATCGAAACTGTGAACGGTTGCAATTCCGCAATACAGTATAAAAAAGTGACGAAATTGCCGAAAGATTTGCTACTCACACTTTGCCACCATTTGGAACTTAGGACTTCTTCGGTTCTCCTGTGAAAAAGTGAGTA